CATTGTTCCTGTTGCCGCCCTTCCCCTTCCCTGTGGATGCCCCCGATAAAGAAAAGGCACTTACCGAAAATGAAATAAATTCAGAATCGATCTCCTCTTCATCTAAACCAGTTTCATCTTCTGCCACGAACTTGGTATCTACCAGTAAGATGCCGGTCTGCATTGTACTTCTCACTTTTGCCGACTCTCCACAACACACGGCTCTTCGGTCGATGATTTTTCTCACGAAGCCCCGGACGGCTTCTATATCGCTAACATTTATCACTAATTCAACAAATGTTCCTTAAATGTTGTTGTGATGTAACTCCATATGGACAGAGTTCTGACAAAGTTCAACAAATTCCTTCATTAAAACTTTGCTAGCTTCAAAGCCATCATTCATAATATGTTGAGCAAATGCCAGTATCACAAAACTGACGCTGTAGTGTTACGATACAAACGCACGCGTGTTCAAACCTGTCAATGTGGATGGAGATCTCGGCTACTCGACTGTCATGCCAACACAATCAGTTGATGAAGTAAGCCATACAAAGAAAGACTTCTTTTCTGATTTTATACGTTCATCAATGGATCATAGCGTGTACAGGGCTTAAAAACCTAAGGTCATCCACGCAGACTCAATTGGCTTCAATGTTCTAAAAAAATTCCTGTGCATATAATCACAAGGTTTGGTTACAATTTATTTACTGCACACAAATATTAACGCTGCCACGGAATCCCTCTGGTCATCGCAGACACCGCGCTACATGAATTATATAACACGACAAACAAAATACGTAGATAAAGCAGCTTATCACAGACGAGCATTTCATGCCTGAAAACGCAAATTATAATGGGGCACTTAATCAATAAACTCACCTTCTCATTTACTAATTACAAATTTAATTAACTTTTCCTCTTATAGCATGTCAAGTATTAACAACGCACTGCAGGTATTACGAGCTATTATTTTTGAGAGTTAAACAGAACAAATTATTCAGTTTCTGTTTTCCCCCACTACTACAGAACCCTTCCAATGCCACGTCTGTCACCTGTTAATTTGTACGTTCCTAACTGCGTCCTTCTAAGGATGATTAATCACGCACGGTTTACGACAGACATAAACACTTATAAAATTCTGGTCACATCACCTGAAGGGATGAGACCACTTGGAAGATAATACTAAAACGAATCTTAAAGAAACACGATAGAAGGGTATGTATGATTGGATTCATCTGGCTCAGAATATGTTCCAGTCAATTGCAATGATAAATTTCAGTCTCATGTGAATAATATTTCTGATACAACGCTCAACTATCAAGAGCCCACAGTCTCACGAAGTGGCCTGTGTTTTGAAATTAAGTATTTGCTGTACTTTGATTACCTGGAGGCAGAGCAGAGCCATGTCCAGGCCTTGTGAGACTAGTGTGCAGCCGGCAATGTCAGTGTCACTTAGTATGGTGGCGGGACACGGGTTACTGCCACATCCCGAGCATTGACGGACCGGTAGTCTGCCTATAAGCAAAACATTAGTCATCCTGTAAAATAAATTCACCGCACACTAATCTTAACAGACACAAGAAGACAGTTAAACAAATTAGCTTCTAAATGTACTTCACGATATAAAATTTGACTTGGCCGTAAATTACATATTTCTTTCGTCTCATTATTAAACCTGAATCATGAAGTAGTTGGCGCGTGCGCACACAGAGAGAAAATAGTGTTGTAATCTGTCAGATCACCAATATTGACCTCGTGCTCAGGGCAAGAATTGCAATATTATAACACATTGTTACAATTCATGCTTCTTCATTTGACCCTCACAACACCTAGTTCAGGCCACAAGCTATAAAACTCTGTCCTCCCGATCCTTCAAACAGAGCACTGGCGGTGAGCGTCTCTTCCATCTGCTAGAACGAGGGACACGCATGGTACAGTGAACTTTCATCTTATCTTAAGGCCATCATCAAACGCAGACTGCACCAGCAGGCAAATATCAACAACGAAAAACAACAGAGCGTGGGAATCAAGTCCGCTGATGTTCACAGTAAGTTGGCTGTACTGACAGCAGATCCGTTGCTGGATCGAACGTCGTGACTGAATGCCTCAGTTGGGAGGTCCCGGGTCCAAATTTAACGTACAAGTTACAGAGGATCGAATGAAACGGGAGGAAACCCACGAAGGGTGGGTGGTTCGGCAGAATCTGTTGGACGTAGCGTGTGTCAAGGTAGGAAAACGAAGGAAAGCCGTGGAAAACGCGGTCTGGACACTTCACGTGATTGTAATCTTGTTCAGTGTCAACAATCCCAAGGTCACCGGGGTTGCACAAGACACGATACGTGCTCAGGTTTGTCCAAACTATAAAATTGTTGGCCATTTACTTCCTGCAGGTCGACACTACTGCAGCCCAGGGCAATGTGGAACTGCGACGATCAGAAACTGTACACGACTTGGATTTGTTCATGATCTGCCTGGTTGCCATGGAAGCCTGTCAGGGTTTATTACATCGCAAGAATCACTCACACGGTTAGCATTTTCGAATAACCTACAAACATGGCGTTTTAAATATATCTGGTTACAAATCGTTTAGAAGTTATTTCGCGAAATTCTCAAAAACCCTCAGTATTTTGTTTGAAGGAAACCAGAACCTCTATCAGGACAGCCAGCCGGTCACTGGGCATGCTCTGTATCCGCAGTACTGCACCAGGGACTAACAATGCTGTATCAACTGTAGGTGTTATGTAGGTCCGGGCCTTTTGCAGGCTACATCCAGAACTGGGCTGCAAGGACAGCCGGATGTAGAACGCAAGTCGCGCGCACATCCGCCATGTTGCAATGAACAGGCACTGGATTTCCTTGAAATGAGGCAGCACAGCGCAGTAGTAACTGGGCAGGTCTGTTTCACGAATTGGTATAGCTTCTGGCAAAAAATGTACAAAAGCCGTGGCCTAACGTGGGTTAAACAATTTTTTTTAAAAAACTGCTTACACTCTTGCACTGTACGCCCCACATATCGAGTATGATCGAAATCTATCAAAGTGTAAACCACGTGTGGACTAAGGCGGTTCGTCTTGTTCTGATCTACGCGAATACAAACTGCCCGATTGCACTGTTCTGGGGTCCCATCAGAGTGAAAACTGCAGGTGACATGTCCTGAGGAGTTACAGCCCGCAAACTGGCAACAATCATTCAAAAGCTTCGCAACTCTGAACACAACTTTGTGGATGTAGTTCCATCTCTCCATATTTTCTTAGGCCGACCTGGCGAATATGTACGAAGCAAGAACGCCAATCGACCGCGACGTTCGAGCCTGGCTGGCTGGCCGGTCGGCCAGTCCTCGCTCATCCGGTGCCCCACATTCAAGCTACTCGCCCCCATCGGACCTCTTAGCCCCAACGGTATTCCCTACCGCGAATACTTCATACATCCGGGATGTCTTGTAATGCCGACATAACATCGTACAAATGCAATTTATGCCACTTTCCAGCCTTCAGGCAAACCTCAATGGCGCGTTTCAAAGTTGCTTCGAATGTGACTTTGTTTCTGACAACACTGGCGCTATTTGTTTCGTAAAATGATCATTTTGTTATATTCTTAATACTTAATATCCGACAACTTGCTTTGTAATCTTGTTGCTTTTTGAATATCACTGTTGCACACTGTCACAGAAATATTTTAACGATGTTTAGTTGTGCCTGCCTGTAGCATCTTACGTCAACACGGCCGAACAGATCATTCACTGCCAGTCATATAACTGCATTCCATTCTCGTGAGACTTTTTCCTTGGAACAAATGAACACTATTGTTTGCTTCTACCAGCCGATTTCCCACGAAGAACTGACTTAGCAATATTAGCCACAACGTATTTACGAACATGTAAACTAAAACTTCATGTTCAGAATATGAAATCGGCCACGGAAAGAAACGCATGAACTCACATTCTTAAGTACAAACCAAGATGGAATCCGAATTTTAAAAATGTCACCGTTACACTGCAGCACAATTTAAAATATAATGGCAAAAGATGAGATGGTGTTGTGTGTTTCGACCCGTCATGAAGGAGACCCCGTTTTCACAGTATCTCCACACGGGAATACTGCAAATACAAAACCAACGTAGCACGTCACGTACCTTACCTAACAACGACCAACTCCAGCGACAGCGCAGGACTAGATAACTGACCGACTGTCACTTTCACTCACATCCAGCAGTGCTGCCACTACACGTTCCGCGTTATCTCTCCCAGTGGCACGGCGGTGGACCGGTAGGTACAGACAGCCGAAGCTCGTCTAAATAACATCTTACAATCCCACCCCAAAGAAACCAACCCGTCTCCATAACAACGAACAATTGCTTAATACTGTTTACATTAAGAATCTAAGAAAACAAAATGTAGAGTCATCGACTGTCAAAGCAGGAGGTGGGCTTTACAGTTAGTTAAATGCCACTCAATGATGATGTAGTGCGAAGTGGGGACATAGCTCCATGCATTATTGATATCAGTGAGAGGTCAGCTTCACGACCCGGCAACTTTACCCCGGATAGGAAGCTGGGCGAGCCAGAGAACTGGCGAGGGCGCAACCTAGTCGGGCAGAATTCGAGGAACGCTACGCGCTGAGCGTGCGTTCAGACACACGGCATCGACCGACCGTATCAACAACTCTGGGACGCCCGGTGGGAAAAATCAGGCCGGAGCGCAAAGCTGACCACCAGTGCCACGTAGCTGCAAATGGCCGCGCAGTGAAACTTACCAACTGTGGGCTGAGGGCAGAAGGCAGAGGGCACGGCCCAGGCAAAATGACACGGCACACGGACGACATCGGCCGCTGCTGCGTGGAGGCAGACCTACAGTGATTGTGTTCGGCTTCTCATCCAGTCGGCACCTGCAAACACACGGCGCTAAATGTGCATGAAAACCCAACACACGACGAGGGCCTGTTTTTCTATTCGGCACACTTCCTGCAATCGAGATATTTCAAGTTTGCAAGCAGCAACGTGTTATTTGCTGGTGTACAGTCGCTCACACCGCAGTAGTTTGCGTGTCAGCCATGTTGCTATTCGACGCAGCACGAGCTTCGTGACGTGCACAACAAAAGCGGCCTGGTGGATCGCATGAGCGAACTTTCTTCCCGTAGGAAAGGAAAGCAGGCTTCAAAGAATTCTCGCACCGCCCATGAAGCTCAGTGTTACAGACACCAAGCACTGATGTTACTTTTTATCGCCTCTTTCACTTTGAAATCGAATTCTGAGCGCCAGAGACCTCCTCCTCCTCACCCCTTCCAATCACCTCAGGTAACCTGGTCGCTGCGAGGCAATTCTGCGGTTAATTCAACGCAGCCGGAGATTCCGTCCGATCAAAGTCACAGCCTTCTTCAGCTGTCCGATATTCGGCCGGGGAGGAGGGAATACGACACAGCAAAACGCGAACCCCCCAGTCGAAGACGACGCGGCAGCAAATTCAAAACGTGAAATCTGTGTCTGGTTCTCTCAAGTGGTCCCTTTCCTTACACTGCACACCGCGTCCCACACTTTGCCTCAAGACAGGGACCGACCCAAACACCGCCTGACGCGGAGGGACATCAAAAGCCGTTTCGAAGCCCGATTTCCGGCTTTTTGCTGCAGACGTTTCGACGATGTTTCAGCATAGAAAACTGGAAAATAGTTCTCAATCCGTGTGCAGACATTCAACACGCAGAGCTCAAATGCAACCCGCGTTGCCTCCTCACTCACTCCCTTCTCTGCCGGCAAGCAAGGTCGCTGAACGAACGCAGTCCGAGCGCGACTCTCCGGCGCTCGGCGAACCACGGGTTCAAAGATCACCTTCCGTTTGCGGTCTCCTTCTTAGCCCCTTGACCACTCGCTTCAACAGCCGGTGACTCTGCATTTTGCCACAGACTGTATTTATGTGTTCGTATGACTCTCGGAATAAACAGCATTACCCAATTGTTCGTTGTCATGGAGACGAAATGCGTTTTCTTTGCGGTGAAACAGAATTTCGAAATACTGTTTTGATGAGCTTTGTTGTTCGGGGTTAGTAACAGCAATTATGCGGTTTGCAGGGCCGGTGAAGGGAAAGGGCTCAACTTCTAGTTCAGGTGGTGGGCCACGCCCTCCCAGCGCCCGCTATTGATCCTGTTGCAACGCGAGGACCCCCCGAAATCGGGCCATTGCTCATCGCGCATGCGTAGTACGTCTCCGCGAGGAACACGCCAGTTGAAGCAGGGAGTGGGGTTCGGGGTCTGTCTTCGGAAAACGACTGCCCCTTTGAACTCCCAGCAAGTTCACGACACCTTCTTTAGACCTCAAGAAGGCGGTGTCCGTCCGTCCGTCCGTCACATCACGCGGGTGCGACACAACTTTCAGAAATTATGGGGAAAATAATTATTAATATCAAAATCGAATTGCACTTGTTCACAAATAAACTGAAAAATTCTCGCTCGTCCACGTAAAACCGCGTTATTTTAAGACTCAAAAATTGGAATTAAATTGTCGTTTCAGCAACCACAGTCCATACAACAAATTTCTTCTTGAGACGCTAATAGTCACTCACCTAGTCAAAAAAATTCCATGCTTCGTATAAAACCCGTTTTCGTAAGAGCCCGCTACTGATCCGTAACCTTAGCCAGCTCAATCCAATCGATACAGTCACACGTTACTTCGTTGTTCCCATTCTGCATCTAAGTGGGAACTTCAAAACGAATTTTCCGACTTGGATTATTTAATTTAATTAATTTCTGCTGGATGTGGTAAAAGGTGCCAAACACTTCGTCCGTCATAAGCGTAAAGTCACGCGTCCTGCTTGGATTAGTTTTGACGAGGACAAGGCGCACGGATCTCTAAATAAAGAGGATGTGCGAGACGCGTTCTTCCGAAACGTCGGTATTTATCTACAAGGCTACGCAATGCACAGCAATAAATCTTCTGGTTCCACAAAGACACAAACTGATTGGCCAGCTAAACACCTATCAGCTTATCAAGAAAGCGTCAGTTCACAAGCATCAGAACCGTCGATCCAAACACGCGAGAGGCCTCGCAATTTGGATTCTAGTTACATCAAACATCAGTTGGCACTACTGCACGCGTTCTGACAGCTGACAATAGGAATAAGACTTTATTTTCCATGGCGTGGCGTGGCGTTACTTCACTTCATAGACCCAGGTATTAAATCTGAATATTCATTGCAGTAAGGAAACTGAGGTTTCCCTTTTATCATTCGATTATCCTTCAAGACGCTGCAACATGTTTGTGTTTTGTCTCTTGAGGTTGTGATGAGTTTGCAAAAGGGGGGGGGGGGGGGGAATGGAAAAAAATTATTGTTGTCTTGGGTTCGAGATTACGTTTGCACACGTTTACTCAACGGATTGTGACGAGGTCCGACAATTTAGAACACAAACTGACGAGCCAGTCACACGACGAGGCAGTTTGCAACAATGACATTAATGAAGACGAAACAATCGATTGTCTGGAATTGTGCGGGGAGGAGGGAATTTTGTTAATCGCGTTCACAGGTTGACTGCCCTAGCAGCGAAAAAGGAATCGTTACCAGGGAAACTGGGGCACGACCACACCCATCACGTCACGTCGCCGGGGATGTCCCCTTTAACTGTCAATAAATACGCGTTTGAAGTGAATATTACTGTGGCACACAAATCGTGCAATCCACAGAGCCGCTCTGAGCCCTCAACACCAAGGGGCGACGCCCCCAACGAAGAATGCGAACACGGCTTGCGAGGTTTCGTTTTCAGAAATTTTCCCCGCTTCCGGGTCAATTCCTTGAATACTCGTCTCCCACATGCGGTTAGCTACTTCCTTGACAAAT